GAACAGCCAGCATCCCTTTTACGGGAAAACGTGAAATCTCGACGGATTTGTTTCGTTCTCACATGTAATATCAGGTTTTGCGGGCTTCTGAGTTCAAAAATGATGACTAAATCAGCTAAAAAGCAAGCGTTTAGAAACATACCTATGCAGAAGTTGGTTTGCCAGTCCATTTAATCCATTTAACACCTAGGCTACTCTATTGACATTGGTTGTTTATTTCATGGATTTGGCACTTGAGGTAGCTGATAAGCCATGTCGAAAACGTGCACAAAACGACCATTCTGCGCACGTTTTCGACACGGATTAAAAACCAGTTGTAAGCACAAATTTTCATATGATTTATTGAGTAGAAAAAAAAGATTTGTTTCTGGTCGGCATGTGTGTCAGTTTAAAAAAGGACTCTTACAACTTTTTTTCTGGCAAAAATATTGTTAAAAAAAGTGTCATAATTTTTGTGAACATATCAGAACCAGAATTTTTTTTTTTTTTTTTTTGTGGCTTTATACATATACATATACATATACATATACATATACATATACATATACATATACATATACATATACATATATGTATATATATATATATTTTAATTTAATAGAGAGTATTGTTACTGGAATGAGCAGTGATGACAAAGAGGTTCAGGAGGAATTCATACAAAAAGCAGATGAGGAACTAACCAAGGAGCATGTATCTAAGACAGTCAATAGAACAGTGATCAATAAAGATGCATATAAGTATGACACACCAGAACCAGCAGTGAGTTCAATCCACATAGTTTTATGGTCTCAGTTTTGTTTTTGAGTCACACTTGACTATTACAGTGTATATAGGATAAAACAACATAGCTGACTTAATGTGGAAGTCTATTCATGAATTCAAATACCAAAAACTTATCCACTTTCCAATAAATTTGAGCTGGAATTTATTTTCACTGAAAAAACATTTAGGGTGTTTTGTATGGAATTTATTTTCACTGATTTTTGGCAAGTTAAATGTAAAATATAGGAAAAAGGTATATTTGCTGGATTTTATTTTATTCCTTCAGTGAAAATAGTGAAAATTAATTTCAAGCGAAAATAAAGCATTTTACAGTACCTGGAAATGTTATTTCATTTATATGTTTTTAATTGTGGTTCAAAATATGTTTAATTTGCAGCCTTCAGAACCAGATGGACAGGTAGACCAGGATGCATTCTTGAAAAACTTGGAAGCAGACGCACAAGCTAGATATGAAAGAAAACAAGCAAGTAGAAAAAGAGCCACTGTCATTAAAGATAAAGGCAATCTAGCATTTAAAAATGGTGACTTTAAACGAGCTATTGAACTGTACAGTGATGCAATGGACATCATTAAAGATTACTCAGACTTGTTCACCAATAGAGCACAGGTAAAGATTATTTATTATAATTACCAGTATACATCTGACACTGGAAACAATATATCCCAGGAATAACTTTCTTATTTAGAAAATGTGTGTCACCTCAATGTCACATCCATTACAAACAACACTTTTTTAGTTGTTTCGTTCATTAAAACAAGCAGGAAAATAACGTATAATAATAGGTTTATCATGAGAATGCCTCAAAGTATGAACTCAGGCAGTACAGGAATGCATTGACCTCAACTACACGTTAGTCGATAGGATCACCTTACTGCCCTCGTGCATACTTTGTGGTATTCTTGTCATAACCTCATATTATGCACTTACTTGCATCAAATTAAATCCAACATCAGCTTTAAACACAAAGAGGGGAGCAAGTTACTAAGGTTTAGATGTTTGATTATGAGGTCATTATTTGGATCACTTTCTCAAAGTGAGGTCATTATTTAGATCACTGTCTCAAAATGAGATCATTATTTGGATCACTTCTCAAAGTGAGGTCATTATTTAGATTACTGACTCAAAGTGGATCATTAGTTGGATCACTTCTCAAAGTGAGGTCATTATTTAGATTACTGACTCATAGTGAGGTCATTATTTAGATCACTGTCTCAAAGTGTGGTCATTATTTGGATCACTTCTCAAAGTGAGGTGATTATTTAGATCACTGTCTCAAATTAAGGTCATTATTTAGATCACTGTCTCAAAGTGAGATCATTATTTAATTTACTGTCTCAAAGTGAGTTCATTATTTAGATCAATGTCTCAAAGTGAGGTCATTATTTATCAATGTCTCATAGTGAGGTCATTATTGGACATTCACAGTGATCATCATTTGGATGTGACAGGTTATATTAGACATTTGACAGTTAGGGTTTTTTTTTTTTTTTTTATATGCAGGTAAGGTAATAAAACTAATTCTCACATTAGAGTCTATGTATTCTTTTACAGGCATACATCAAAATCAGTGAATATGACAAAGCTATTGAAGACTGTGATTTCGCTATGCGAATAGACGAGAAGTGTGTTAAAGCATACATAACGAAAGGCAGGGCCTATCTAGCTAAAAAGAAGTACACTAAAGCCATCTCAACTTATGAAGAGGTCCTTGAATTTGATCCAAAACAAGAGAAAATAGTGAAAGGTAGCCATCTTAAAATATTTAACATGAATATCTGCATTCTAGAGGTCTGTTTGTTGCAACAGTGTTTATATTATGTTGACATTTCCTTAAAATGCGATGTGTGAGGGTGCACTTCTATTATGTCAGCTGTTAGACTCATGTATGAAGCTCTGTTTAATTGACAAGTATAGTTGATCTGTGGATCTTGGTAACTCAATAAGACACCTGACAACTAGCTGCTCTGACCTATGACCCTGATGTTAGAGATTCTTACACAAGTACGTATGAAGTATAGAGGGCGCTATTGCAAAATTGCATCCAAAAATTATCCTCCATAATATACAAAAATACATTGCGGCAAGTGTTGCATAAAATTTTGTCTGCATTTATGCAACAAACTTTAAAATACATAAATTTAGAAAGTATGCAAATTATTGTGTTAATTAAAGCTTCCCAATGTTTGTCTATTTATGCTGCTTGCCCAATTGCTTTGATACTTGATATGTAGGTACTGTGAGTGGACCTGTATCTGATTTTTATCAATATAATCTATAGTATATTTTTAAACAAATATTTTTGACTCCCATGTGCGAAGCACAAAAAGGGAGTCTTTGCAGTTAGTGTGTCTGTATGTGTGTGTGTATGTGTGTGTGTGTGTGTATGTGTGTCCGTCTGTTCCACTGATATCTCAAGAACCATGCATCAGTTTTTGATGAAACTTGGTGTATAGATGCTCTGGGCCAATGCGCAGATTTGATTAGGTTTTGGTAAAAATCCATGC